TATAAACATCTGTGAAATGTGTGGCAGTGAAGTGGTTAATCATCCGGATCCTACGTGCAAGAATGCACGACTTAGGAGTTAGATGTGGGAGGGTGAACTCAAACCGGACTGGTATGTGGTCTGGAAAAACATTATCACCAATAACAAGATTATTAACAGTCACATCATGAGTTAAAACAAGGTCCAGTGTATGTCCACACTCTTGGGTGGGATCTTTTACATGCTGAGTTAAATTAAATGAATCCAATAGATCTAAAAAGTCCTTAACCAAGCGCTTCTCAGGACAGCACACGTGCAAATTAAAGTCCCCAATAATGAAAACATGCTCATATTTTGGTGTGATTTCAGCCAAGAAGTCAGAAAACTCATTTATGAAATCCTTAGACCGAGGTGGGCGGTAGACGAGTGCAAATAAAGTCTGAGGTGAATGTCCAAGTTCAAAGACGCTCAGCTCAAAGCTGGTGCGGGAAACTGGGATGGGCAGTTGTTTACAGTCAAAAGTTGATTTGAATATTGTTAATAATCCACCACCGCGTCGGCCTGATGGCCGCGGGGCGTTAAAATACAAACAGTTTGGTGGCAGTAATTCCGTCAAGACACTGGACTCACCCGGAGACATCCAAGTCTCTGTGATGCACAGAAAGTCCAAATCGTGCTCTTGAAAGTAATCCCTGAGGATAAAAGTTTTGTTGGTAACAGATCTTGTGTTGACCAAACACATGCGGATATTGTCCGAAGAGGAGCTAGCAGCGGTGGAGTTAGCGTGCGCTAATGGCCGCAGGTTTTCAATAACAGCCCCTCCAGGTCGGTCCGAGCTGCGCACCGGCTGACAACTAAAGCTGGTTACTTGGTCTGGGCACATAGGAGAGGAAGATGCAGCGCACAGAGCTTTCAGCTTCACCAGCTGACCAGCACATTTTCCCCGGCGTCTGAAGCGATGCCTTCAGACGCCGGGGTGCAGGGAGTTGAGGAGCGCAGCGAAGGTAAGCTGGCACGTTCCCCAGCTGGGGGGGGGGGGGGGGGTCCAGAGGAACGCTGACAATGGTCCAAATAAGCGACTTCAGTGACAGAAAAATGAAGATCCAAATGTTGTTGTCTGTCATACACCAGCAGAGAGTTGATGTCACAGATGGGAAATGCAAAAAACAAAAATAATCCAAACACCATCAGCAGAGGTGGACTGCAAGCCATGTACACGGGCGCCAACTTACCGGAAGTCCCATTAACATCTCAAAAACTCAAATAATATCTTAACTACAGCCCCAAATCTCAAATGAGTTGAAAAGGATGTTCTGTGGATGCATTCTCATCTACCTGACAGCTGTGTTTGAGTGCCTGACCACTGAGATCCTGGAACTAGCAGGAAACATGGCTCATGACAGCAGAAGGACAGGATCATCCTTCGGCACCTACAGTTGGCAGTCCGCAGCAACGAGGAGTTCGGCAGACGGCTGGGAGGAGTGGCCATCGCTCTGGGAGGAGTTCTG